TTCTGTAGTAAGAGACCTGGTGCAGGCACACAGACCTGAGAGGGCTGGGCATTTTGCTGGACAAAGAAACCCTGTTCTAGTTGGCCTCTGGTCCGGAGAAGCTTCCAGTTCTAAGTCAACTTCTCCACTTTGATTTCTACCAGTTCCTTTATAAGAGTTACACGTTAATGAGCTCATCTACATCCCAGTTGGGAACTATGCCTCCATTTCAGAAGAGGGAGGGGATCATGTCAGGGCCACACCCAGCCCTGACCCCAAGACAAGTGAGTTAATTCAGTGCTTCGCAAGCAAGCTGGCCCGAGACAGGATAAAAAACAATTTAATGCCGCTTTTGTGCTTTCTCAATGTTGCACCCCGAAACCAAAGCAGCAAAGACATAGCTTAAGAACATCAATTTCTCTTCAAAACCCCAGTTTTTTAATCTCTCTCCTTGTTACTAGAATTCCCTAAAAGAAATGTGAATCTCCTTGGGCCCATTAACTCTCAAAGCAAACACAGCCAGGGTGAGCGTGCAGCACAGAGTTGGCTCAAGCGTTCATGTTCATTATATCCATTTCTGAAAGGCTGAGCAACTGCTTTAGAAGGTTTAGGCTTCAGAGACTCTTCACAGGAGGTGCACGGCCCCCTGGCCTCCTCCCACCGGTGCCCAGATGCCCCAGCACCAGGCAGGGCCGTAAATGCCCCAAGGCACATGCTACTCGCATTAGTGCAGATAAAATCCCATCCCGAGTCACACTGGCACACAGAAAGGGTCTGCGCAGCAAGGCTGTTTGCAAGCCTCAGAGGCTGATCCTTCCAGAAGGCCCAAGCTCCCACACATCAGTGTCCCCTCTGACCCCCAGGCACCTGTCTTTAACAATAAAAGCCACATGACCCTGTGCTGTTTGCACCGTGTCCTTGGGGGGAAGGAGGAACAGAGTGGTGGTCTAGCTGCGTAAAAAAAGAAGGGACAGTTCTCAATCACCTCCTAAGTACTAGACATTACGGAGAGGAAAAATCAACATTTCTATTTCACAGATAAGTCACTCCAAACACTAAAATGATCTGTTAAGTCTCGCCATGAATAGGAAAAGTCGGGATGTGCACCAGGCCTGAAGCAACTAACTGTTCCTGGAACAATTCTCTGAAGTAACAATGAACACTTTGCCTGGGCCCCCCCACCCCTTCCCATTTCAGCCAATCAAACAGCAAACCTCTCAAGATGGGGATAAAGACACAAGCCTAAATTACCCAAAAGCTGGCAGGAAGAAGGCGGAGAAGGGGAAGGGATATACATCTGTACCTAAGTACGTGTGCATTTACAGATCGTCTGTCTTTCCCGTTTCCTTCCTGCAGTCCTCCACAGAAAGGCACCATTCACCTTGGCTTTGGGTGATGGGCCCTCGCCGGCAGTCACCGTTCTGGCAAAGTCCACGATCATAACGGATGTGGATGTTCCCACAGAGGATGAACCCGCCTCACTGTAAACCCCGACAGCTGAGGAGGGAGGAGACAGGACTCCCCCCCCCCCCGCCCCCGCCACCCCCTGTGCCAGCTCCAAAGGCTGGTTCAGGCGCTTGCAAAGTCCTGCTCCCCTGAGAGCTCTGCAAGTCAGAGGCAGCAGCAGAAGCACAAGCTGCTTGGGATGTTAGGAAATTTACCAACTTTGGGGCGGAGTTAGCAGCTCTCTCTGGGGCTCTCCCCGAGGGAGCAAAAACAGCCTCTGGGTCACCCCCAGGCCCTACCCCCTTCCAAGATGGAGGAAAAACCCCAAAGGAGACTTGAGGGGACTCAGAGCCATATGGGGGCCAAGACCCAGCCAGAGTCTGGGCAGGGGGAGGGAGGGCCAGCTATAAGCACCCCCCCCCCTGCGCCCACAAAGGGTGAACTAAGGAAGGGAGCCCCAACAACACCTGTTCTAAGCTTTTCAGGTGAAGGGCTGACCTACAACGACAATGAAAAATGTCTGAGCTTTTTCATGAGAAAATAAGGCAGAGTTTCTCCCTGATGGAGAGAAAGCAAGAGCTAGAAAAACTCACCTTCACCCTCTTAGGGATGGTCAGCCACTGGCACCTGTGCAGTCTGACATATAAGAAGCCAACTCAGGGCAGCAGGATTCCTCTCTCCCTGAGAGAGGAAGGGTCATTGGGTCTCACGGAAAACAAAAAGGGTTCTGCCCCCTGCCCCCCCCAGGACCCGCGGGTCACAATGAGCTCTGGAAGAGGCTGCCTCCACCCTCTCACCTCACACCGGGAGGTTACAGGGTTGGTCCTGTTTTCTCAGCTCCCCCCATCCAACTCCAAAGCTCTGGCACCACCTCCCAGCAATGGGGTTACGCCCTCGTATGGGGCTCTAATAAATGGCCATTTTCTGGCCAAACTGATATTAACTTTTCTTTTCTACTTTTGATGTTACACACAAGCCTGTCCTTGCTGTACCAGGAAGCCATTTCACCCATCTGTCTGGGAAGATGATCCAATTTTGGTCCTTTTATCATCAATGCTTTCAGTAACTTTGTTTTACTTCCCTTACTGTAATTACTTTTGAATCATCAACACACCCAGACAGCCTTAAAGCTCCAAGAACAGGATGCTAAAAAGGAAAAAAACAAAACAAAAACAAAAACAAAGGAACAACCCTGCAATGGCAAACTACTTCACTAAAAGTCACCCAGACTAGGAAAAATTTGGCTTTTTCTAGAAATTTACTTCTTAATAAACTGCCTCACACCCCTTCCCCTTTTTCCAAAGGGAGACAGGGCATAGAGATGGGATGCTGGAGGTAGGGGGGTGGCACAGCAGCAAGGAACTAACTCCTAAAGGAGATCATTAAAACATCTACTCCCCACCCCTGCTTTTTTAAAAAAAAAAAAAAAAGGGATGCAGGATTTGTAAATAATGAGACTCAGAAAGTTGGCTTGCTGGTTGCTGGGTGTCCAAGTGGCCCGGGAAAATAGTATGTCTTCTCTGGAATGCAATCAAATTACATGGAGGGAGGGAGGCAGAGACGGGGAGCCAGGGAGAGAGGGAGAGGGGGAGAGGGGGAGAGGGGGAGAGGGGGAGAGGGGGGAGAGGGGGGAGAGAGGGGGAGAGAGGGGGAGAGAGGGAGAGAGAGAGAGAGAGACCCATGGCTGCTGGCTTGAGAATTCAGATTCCTCCAGGGATAAGTCTGAAGGACAAACCACACACAAAAAAGAAAACAAAAAGCGGAACTCCAAGAAAATCCAACCAACATCGGCGACTGAGCACTGTCAAGAAGCCAGCTGCTCTGCTTCCTGCTGTCATCTATTCTGTTCCCCTGCCACTAGCCCTGCTGGCTGAAACTTCCAGCTGATATGTGAGATGCCCCTTCAGCAGTCCTGCTCTCACTCCTGGTGTGAGTCCCTCGCCAGGACGACACCCTCCAGAGCCTTTGCGACAGGCAGACCAGAGCAGGGAAGCACGCGATCGTTCTTCCCTTCTTCCCACTCATCACTAACAGGGACCCCTCTGGAATCTTCCACACCTCAATCTCCTCACTTCTGGCTGCCTCCTGGAGTCTTTTCCTGGGCTGAGATTGGGAACAGGCAGGAGTCAAGTTCTCAACACAGGAAGCCTCCCCGTTCAGGCCTCAGCACAGCTGGGCAGCCAGCAGAGGTGAGGTTGCCCCTGGGGTCACAAGGCCTAGTCAGTGATGCAGCCAGGAGAGCAAGGGCTTTTTGGGGGGGCTGGGATCTGATTAGGCAAGGCTCCCCCCTCCTCAGGGCAAGCTTATTTAAGAAGGGGCCAGCAACGCAGGAAGCATCCGCTGCCCCTCCACCCACTCCACTCCAGGAATGGGAAAGGCTGACACCACAGCTGCCTTGCCCCTAGGCAAGTTGGGGGAGCTACTTGGGAAGTGAACCCCAGGAATAAGCGACCTGCTGACTAATGTTTCCAAATAGGGGGATGTGGGCCACAGTGAGGAGGAGCCCCAGCTGACCCCCCCCTACCAGGGTCTAGGCCTCAGTATGTTCAACTGCGGTACTGACCCTGCGCATCCTATCCTGGGTGGGCCAGCGAAGGGCAGGAAGGCTCCGGATTTGGTACGAGGAGCCTGCTCTCCCCTGTCTGGGGAGAGGGGGGTGAGTTCTCCAGAAACAGCCCCCCGCAACCCAAACAAACAAAAACCACAAAACACCCAACACTAGTCCTTACTCCCCACGGAAATTCTGTCCGCTATTTTGGACACATTCCTCAAGGCTCGAGGGGGAACGTGGGGGAGGGGAAAAGAGTTTCGGGGCTTGCAGCGACCTAGCTCCGGGAGATTCCGGCCTGGGGCCTCGGCCGGGCCGCTGCCGTCCGCGCCCCCCCGCGCGGCTCCCGGGCCTCGGAAGGCGGGGGCGCGCGCCGCTGCCCACGGAGCACTCGCACTTTTGCGCTGCGCGGCTCGGGACCACGCCGGGGCCGATGCCATCCGGCGCATTATGTAACCAGGGACACGGCTCCGCGCTAAACAAACGCGGCTCTGTGTGCAGCCGCGGCCCCGGGGAGGCGCGCCGGGGCGGGGAGGGGCCCGCCGGGCCTCGGGGTCGGGCTCGCAGGCTCCGCCACGGCGGCAGGACGCGGCCCAGGGCCCCGCGGCCCCCGCCCGGCCCCTCCCCCGCGGCCGCCCCCGCCTCCGGGCGGTGAACTTGGCCCCGAGTCCCGCGGGACGCGGTCGCCGCCCGCAGCCGGAGGGCCCCGCGCCGCCTCCCGCCCGCCGCCCGCCGCCCGCCTCCCACCTCGCGCGGGGACGGGCGCCGCTCGGCGGAGCTGCCCGCCGGGGGCGGCGGCGCGGGCCGGGGTGACAGCTGCGCGGGGGGCGCCCCTCCCCCCGGCCGCCAGGAGCCGGGCCCCGCGCGGCCCCCGCGGGGTCTGGGCGCGGACCGGGCCGCGGGCGCGCGCGGGCGGGGGGTCGGGTCGGGGTCGTGCGAGGTCGGGGACCGGCCGCGGCTCCCGGGCGGGGCCAGCCCCCCACCCGGCCGGGGGCGACGCAAAGTTTTGGGAAGTTGCTGCCCCTACCTTGCTTGGCGAGCACCAGGGCGTCTTCCCTCCGCGCCTGGGTGATGATGGAGCCGTGTTCCATCTAACAACCCCGCGGGCCCGGGCTGGCTGCGCGGGGGACCGGCGGGCGCGCAGGCGGGGCTGGGCTGGGGGCCTGGGCGGGGGCCCGCTCCGGCTGCGGCTGCGGCTGCGGCTGCGGCTGCGGCTGCGGCTCCGGCTCCGACGCTCGCGCTCCCACAGCAGCTCACATCCCCGCCCTCGCGTCCTCCCCGGGCCGGGAAGGGAGGCGGCCTGTACGGAGGGCGGGCGGCCCGGGCAGCGGCTCCCCGGGTGCCCCCGGCCCCGATCCCCCGGCAGCAGCTCCGGGCTCCTCAGTTTGGGTCCAACATGGAGAATCCGGAGCGAAAACAAGAGGAGGAAATGGGACACGGGGCGGTTTCCAGGCCCCCCCCTCCCCTCCGTACTCCGGATAAACAACCCGCGGCCGCGGCGCCCACCCCCGCGCGCCTCGCGGCTCCGGACGCCGCGTCTCCGCGGCCCGCCAGCGCCTCCCTCTCCGCGGCCCCGTCCTAGGCCCCGGGCCCCTCCACCTGCTAGCGGCCGGGGCCGCAGAACATCCGGAGCTTTGCTATTTTGTTACGGAAAAAGCGAATCCCCGAGGGGGGGTGGGGTGGCGGGCGGGCAGGCTGGCGGGGGAGACTTGAAACCGCTCCGGCGCTCCGATTGGCCCTCGCGGAGAAAAGGGGCGTGGCCCCTCCTTACTATGCGGTGCGAGGACCCAACAACATTCCAGGCGCTGCGGCCCCGCCCCCGCCCCGCCCCCCGCGCGGCCGCGGCCTCCCGGCCCTCGGCCACGCCCCCTCCCCAACTACTTAAAAGGACCCTCGGCGCGCAGGCTTCCCTCCTCGGGGCGGGTGTGCTCGCGTCTGGGCGTCTCTCCTCGCGTAAGGTGCGCTGGCTCTGCCCTTCGGGTGACCAGGGAAGCCGCGGATCCTCACCCAGGTCCGGCCAGGATGGGAGGGCTCGGGGCAGTTTTCCTACCTCCTGCTTGGCCCTCGAATCGTGGACGCACAGTTTCACATCAAAGTACAACCACTGAATCCCGAAAGGGATTTGGGGCGGGGAGCGGGGGGCGCCGGACTCGGGACCCCGGAGTATCAGAACTGGAGATGACCTCGGGAGGTCTGACCCCTACAGTTCAAATGAGGCTTGAGTTGCAGGGCTTTGCCCAAAGCCGCTCGCTCGCTCGTTCCCATTCGGGGCTCACATGCTGTCCCCCCACCCTTCTCCTGTAGTCCCAGCCTCAGGTTAGATGGATAGAGGTCTCTAAGGGAAACGCTCTTGCTCCAGGGGCTCAATGCTGCCCCACCTCTTTGCTCTTAGGCCTCAGGCCCCCTCCCCTGGACCGTCATGGCCTTCGGTGAGGAGCATACACACACACCTTCCCTCCCAAGAAGTGAGAGCTCCAGAAAGGCAAGTTTCAGCCCAGTATCAGGCCCCTTCCAGCGAGCTACATCTGTCCACAGGTGACAGAGGCTGCCTTCGGAGGAGGGGGACTAGGTCGGCCAGAGTGATGTAGAGTGAGACTGCACTAGGTGATGTCTGAGCTACTCCCAACCCTAATAGTCTATGATTTAATGGAACTCACATACCAAGGAAGGGGCTTCCAGAAGGTCTGGACTTCTCTGGTCTCTGGCAAGTTGGAGCAGATGATGGCCTTCCCTCTGCACTTCCTATTGCCCAGCCTGCACCAGGCCTCATGGCGGGTGGGGGTGGGAGGGGGGTGGGAGGACAAGTAGGTCACATCTTAAATCTCAAGGTACCATCAAATAGCTGCCCCGCCATGGTCCCTCCTTCAGGAGTACACCTGAGGTTGTGATGTGTAGCAGCCTGTGTGCCTTAATAGTGCTCAACGGTGCCTGGTTCTTCTGTTCCTACACACACACATACACAAAACCCTTTTATATAACACCATATTAATGGAAATGCTTTTTTCCCAAAATGAAAACTGTTACAGAAGATCTGAATGATGCTTATGTAACATTAAAAACTGAGTTTGGGTAGGTCTTAATTCATTAACGGAAAAGGAAAGGGAGGAGTTCTTTTTTCTTTTTTTAAGATTTTATTTATTTGAGAAGGAAGGGGAGAGAGTGCACGCGTGAGCACATGAGCAGGGTGAGAAGCAGAGGGAGAAGGACAAGCAGACTCCATGCCCAGTGTAGAGCCTGACTGTGGGGGGGGGGTGGAGTGGGGGCGGCTTGGTCTTACAACCCTGAGATCTTGACCTGAGCCAAAATCAGGAGTCAAACACTTAATGGGACACTTAACCCACTGAGCCACCCAGGTGCCCCAGGGATGCATTCTTACATATTTATCTCCCATCATTATTAAAAGATCACTAAATCAGTAGGGTTCTTTTTTTTTTAATTTTTATTTATTTATGATAGTCACACAGAGAGAGAGAGAGAGGCAGAGACACAGGCAGAGGGAGAAGCAGGCTCCATGCACCGGGAGCCCGACATGGGATTCGATCCGGGGTCTCCAGGATCGCGCCCTGGGCCAAAGGCAGGCGCCAAACCGCTGCGCCACCCGGGGATCCCAAATCAGTAGGGTTCTTAAAGATAAATCTTGAATAGTCAGGTTATGGTGGGGGGCCGCTTTTGAGGCCACCCTGCCCCCCTTCAGCAAGGTAGTTCGGTTGGGATGGGAGGAGGAAGGGTGCAGGCAGGAGCTGAGAATAGAGGGTTGAGAGAGATGTGCTACCTCCAGCTGTGTACTGGTGGGTAGGACACTCCATCTCTCTGGGCTTCTGTTTCTCATCCATAGAGACCATCCCTCCCCCCTTCATAGTTTACAAAGTAGTTTCACCTACACTCTTCTGTCTCATTTAATCTCTCATTTCTTTGAGGCTGACAGAGCAGTTTTATGCACATTTTGTCCATGAGGAGACAGGGTCTGGAAAGGTTAATTGACTTACCCTAAGGTTTCTTACAAACTTATTAAGAGGAGGAGGCAGGATGAGAATTTGTCTTTAGACTTTTAAGACTAGAACTCTTGAACCTTTTCCAGAGTTCTTTTCCTATGTACAGGAAATAGGAGGAAATACTAGAACCTAGTCACTGTCTTTTCTTGCTAAGAACTCTAATTGCACCACCTCCTTGGGAAGCCCTCCCAGATACCCACTCTCGCATCAGGCCTCCTACACACTCTCTTAGAGCACTTAACATTTTGCCTTGCCACTGGCAGTTTGCTTAACAGCTTCCCAGCCAGAAGATGGGTTGAGATTATTGAGACTAATGAATTATGTATTATTTATTAGTGTGTCTCTTGTATCTAGCATGGTACTTGCCACAGGGCAGGTAGCCTTACACGCCTGCTGTATAAGTCTTGATTCTGTGTCTTAACCAGTGCTCTTTTGCACAGGAGTTCAGAGAACCATAGCAAAAAAACACATTTAATATTGTAAGAGAACTGAAACAAGTTTCGTGGAACAGCACTTCCCCTGCTGTGTACATGCACTCTGATATTTTCTTTTCTTTTTAAAAAAAGATTTATTCATTTATTCGAGGGAGAGAAAGAGAGAGGGAGGGAGGGTGAACGTGCGTGAGTGCGTGTGTGTCGGGGGAGGTGCAGCGGGAGAGACTCTTCAAGCAGACTCCTCGCTCAGTGGCCTCAACCTCACAGCCCATGGGATCATGACCTGAGCCGAAATCAAGAGGTGGACTTAACTGACTGAGCCACCCGGGCGCCCCTTGATAATTTCTACTGTACTTCATGTTTTCAAGATGTTGGCCATGATCCCCTAAGTTGATTTCATGACCCACTACCAGGTAGTGACTTAGAGTTGGAATAATACTGCTTTCATCTCCTGTCGTAGAAGCATTCTCTGTGTAGGGTCTACTTGTCCCTAAAAGATGCGGAGGAGATGACATTTAAGTACCCATTTTTCTGAGGTCAAAGAGGGTCTTATATATAATAAAATAGATAGGGGCGCCTGGGTGGCTCGGTGGGTTAAGCATCTGCCTGCAGCTCAAGTCATGCAGCCCCTGTGTTAGGCTCCCTGCTCAGCAGGGAATCTGCTTTTCTTTCTCCCTTTGTGCTCTCACTCTCTCAAGTAAATAAATAAAATCTTAAAAAAAAAGAAAAGAAAAGAAAAGAAAGAATGAAAATAGAAACCTTTCCAAGACTAGAGAGAGGCACAGGGGTGCAAATAGAATCCAGGGTGGGGCCGATAGATGAGGGAAGGTCCCTGAGAGGACTGGTGGGAACCTTTCTGCCTCCAGAAATTAAAAGGTAGTGCCAGCTTTACTAGAGCCTGGAACCCCCAAACACCGGTAGGCCGTTGGCCTCTTACTGCTCTGCCCCCAGATGATAGGTTTCCACCGGAGAAAGCTCTCTGTTAAGGGGGTGGGGAGTGTGGGAGGCAAGTGGCCATTCCCACCTCTGCCTAAAACAGCCTCTTCATTAACCTCCTGCCTCTAGGCCCCTGGCCAGTTGCTGGCTGTGTGACTTTGGGTAGGCTTTGGGGGAGATTAAGGGTGACAGTTGCAGCCAGGGCTCTCTGGGCCTGACAGCTCTCCCAAGAGAGCTCACCTACCTGCTTCACCCCTTTACCTCACCTGGAGGGTTGGTGAGAGGCATATGAAGACAGAAGCACCCCCCTTCCCCACTCCCACCAAGTGCCGGAACACTGGGGTGGCGAGGGTGGGGCTCGAAGGAGCAGCTGTCCCTGTCTGTCTGTTGTGGCCACTGTGAACTGGACCCAGTAATCCTGACGCCAGGCTTTGGGAAAGGGAAACGGAGCTGGAGGCGCTTCCTCTCAGGGAGATCATGCTTTCCAGAGCCCTGCCCCTTCCACTGCAGAAAATAAACACAGGGTTGGGCCCAGGGAGACCTTTCATGACCTTCCGATGTCACTGAAATGTTCCATTTTTAAAAAAAGGTTTATTTTTATGACAAACGGAACACATCCATTTTCTTGGTTTCTCTAATTGTTCCTGCAGAGTCTCAGTTCCGTTTTGTATTGTAACTGGGACGGTGGGGTCTCAGTGCCAGGCGTCCAGAGCCCCGCGCCCTCCTGCCACGAGGCTTGTTTGGTCCTGTCCTGCTGCTCAGGGCAAGGTTCTGAGGCGGTGGGCAGCGGCGTGGGGTGGGGT